CGTAGCCTGGTACAAATAGCTTTTGCACAAAGGCAGAAGCCATCCTCTCCTATAACCATCCCAATGGTCACTCCATAATGCTTTAATCAATGTTATATTCAAACTATATCAATAAGAAGTCACAGACACTTTCACTATTCATACAACCCTCACTCACTTCACAACGAGCACGGCATTGCTGCCGTGACTGTAGGGAGTGTTCACTACTCTTACGGGGCTAGCTTCTAACAACCAGATCCAACGTTGGGTGGACCAGCTATACCGGATAGCAGCGGCTCGAAGTGTAAACTGTTGTATTATAAACTCGTTCCGCACAAGGAATTAGAGTAAGCAGCTTTGATGAATTCTGTTTTGTGTAGAGTCACCGTGGGGTTGGTGCGCTCAGTTTGCATCTCTGCTTCCGGCTAGTTCGCGGTGGTCACGTAGCGGCTATTCTAAGCTGCTTCATGAATTCGCGTAAGAATGCGCTAACAAATTTCGGACCTCTGGCAATAATGATGTTCTCCGGGCAACCGTTTAGCTTCGGAGCATTATTAATGAATAATTGTTCTTCTCCCGCTGCTGCAACGGAACTTGAGCAGGGGATAAAATGAGCGTACCTGCTGAGTCTGTCCACGACAGATCTGAACGATGGTGAGCCCAGAATGAAACGCACTGAGATACCCATCCACATTCGGTCGGAAGTCGGGAGACTTCACAAAGGTCTTGGCTTTACGGTGTTCCATAGCTGTTGCTGGTGAGAATCCATGCTAGTGCGAACATATTCCCAGTCCAAAGAGTGCATCTTAGACCGCCAAAAGGACCAGGCAACCCTCTCCACCCTTTTGCTGACCCCATCATGACCGGTTTAACAATGATCATGCATTTTGCACAAAACTTCTGTGCTGACCGAACCTGGAACGTATAATCTGCGGGCTGGGCGCTTCGTCTGGCACCACAAGAGGGCGCCGTCTATGCGCTAGGGCTTAGCCTGTCACCTTTTGTTGAGGTTGGTAAGAACTGCAGCCAGGGAAGTATCAAAGGAGTAAGAATAGCACACTTCGAGATGAAAGAGGGCATTATCACAGACAACTGCAGTTACAGAACACGGAGCCTGATCTGGATGGCGTCGGGAGTGTGCGTCAGCGGCCACGTTGCGCAGGTTGGTGATGCCCTTAATGTACTTGACCCAGAAGTCGTACTGCTTGACCAAGCACAGCCAGCCAACAAAACTTCCATTCCCATAGTCTGGAAGACCCCTTGTCAGGCATCTCGGAAATTGATAGTCTGTTTGAACAGTGCGATGCTTTCCATATAGGCAATCTGGACATTTGTTTTTTTGACTCCACCAGAGAGAGCGTAGAGCTCATTCTCACGAACCGGATACTTCTGCCCCTCTTTGGTGAGACGATAAGAGATGTAGGTAATTATTTGGTGCTTTTCAGGTTCTTATGTTGCTCAGAGAGCGTCAGTCAAGAAGATTTGTCGCTGGTACCGGTGATTCAAAAGAAGGGGTTGCCGAAATCAGGATCAGGGAATGAGAGTACTGGGAATCTGCTGCGAGTTGTCGATGCCGCATTTTCATCACCTATCCAGATTAGATATTTGCCCCTCGTAACTATATCCTTTGGAGAGGCGGCTGTGCGAGCGGCGACGGGTGTGAAGTTGCTGTGGTACAAAACGAGACCTAAGAATTTGTGAACCTCCTTGCTGGTGTACAGGGACAGTATCATGTCTGAATATCCCCCTTCTTCGCCACATCTGGTTTGACGCCTGGTCCAGAGTCAAGAAACCGCCGTAAACTCAATGCTGGCCTGAAAAGCGAACGCTTCTGGACTTTGAAACACCACTACATGACTGGTAACAGTTGGAGCGTACTCTACAGGTGGTGGAGCTGCTTTTGAGCACCCCGGTTGAAGGCATAGACCGCGAGAGTCTCGTCAGGAGGGCGCATGGACACCCTCCACTGGGTTAACCAACTTATGCCTAGGATTATCACGTGGTGAATTGGCCCAAAGCAGAAGTCCGGGAGAATTGTAATATGCCCCAATTCGGAGTTGAGGTCACATTTTACGTTCATAGCTCTGCCAATTCTTGTGCCGTACCTGCCGTCCTCAGAACGTAGCCCCAGAGACGGCGCCAAACAGTAAGCCGTTAGGTTGCATCTCTTCATGGCCTCCAATAGCATATCCGGTTCGCATCTAGTATCAAGGAGCGCCTGCATTACCTCGGCATTTTTCGTGCGTCTGCAATCTCGAATTATGTGACCTTGCTTATTGCCAAAGAAGCAGGTACCACGCTCGGCAGATCCTTCTGAGTGTCTGGGTGCTGAGGGTATAATCATTTGTTGCTTCCGAATTTGCCTTCTTATCTCAGCGCGGGCTGTGGAAGGTTCGTCCTTTTCTTTCGTTTATGCGAAGGCACTCCATGTTGCCAGCGAATTCGACTCCATCAAGCCAGCATTCGACAATTTCACTCCCTATTTCCTTGTCAGCAGCCCAGCCGATTACCGCCCACCTATTGCCGGAGGCAACTCTGCTATCGATCAATTATAGAACCGCTTTGGATCCACCACTGGATTGCTGTTCAACCAGGACGAGCACTTCCCGATGTATCGCTCCCTCGACAGCTTCCCTTACGTGGGTTGTCTCAGTCTCTTCAAATGCAATTCCCTTTCAGAAGTGGAAATAAACGTGCATTGCAGCGCATCTCGGACGGCGTAAATGGACCTGATATGCGCCAGGAGAGCCGAAGTTTTGCTAGGTTGTAACAACTATCGTTCAAATTCCCTTCTAATAGAGAACATGAAAATGGCAATTGTGGTCCTTGCGGTGCGTTTGGAAGACAAAGGTATAAGACACGAGAACAAAGGAATTCCTCAACTGTTTCTGCATCGTGGCGCCGAGCATATATGGCTGCTCGGCTGAAGCCGAGACATTCAGGAGGAATGCTTCCATTTCTGCCGATCAGCCAGATATGACGCTCTTTGTGAGTGAAATGCACTTCTGAGAGGAGCAAATTCCAACATTGAGCTCGTTCCTGCCCCGGGAGTTCCCCAGGTATCCTCCTCATCCAAGGGCAAATCGTAATAACTCTCCGTTTTGCAAGAGGAAAACGGCCCAGTTCTTGGGAAAGACTTTAGAGCAGTCTTTTTTTTCTCCTGCCCCCCCTTTTCTTCAATTACTGCCTACACGCTATGCCGCCTTCCTGTGGACGTTCGCGTTGTTCGGTGCACGCCCCTGCGCGGTGAACCATGCGCTACTATCCAGTGGAAAGGGAGTACTCGATCATTTGCGAGTACTGTCTCCAGCTGCAGTTGAGTAAAATTACTTAAAATAAGAGTTCAAAAAACATACGACCTCTTCTAGGGTCACTAGGTGGCAAGAAACAGGCATCCCTACGGAAAGAGTAGGTGGCCTGACAAGTGTTGCAACGCATCCTGCTGCAAAGGGCTGCAATTCAGCCCCAAATCCGAACCCAACCAAAGCCCTTTAGCTCCATACACACAACAGAGAATCTTGAGATACCTGCTTGGCCGTGTAAAGCCAGCCTGCACACAAGTAAGGATGAACGAGCCAACACAGGCATACAATGCTACAATGCTGCTAAGTACAGTCCCAGCCTCCAGTTCGTGTAGGAAGCCACATACCCGATATCCATGAGTGCATTCATGATAAAAGTGTCGAAAATTTTAACTGCTTTGTGGACTCATCCTACGGAAGTCAACTGCAGGAAGTAACGGCTCCTTGAGGGCGACGGCCACGCCACCTCGCAACAAATATCTGTGGACTGCCCGCCCCTACAACATTTGTGGCCTGAAAGAACACAGGAACGAGAGGAGGCAATTTAATTTTTTTAGATACGCTTGATAACAGCCAAGGCAGAGTGGTCTGGTGTTGTAACGCTTCCGTACCAGCTGTACGGAGTGGGCAAGCTAGAGGAGAAGGCTGCAAGACAATAGACGAGCATCATTGCGCGCTATACACTGTCTTATGCGACAACTAGATTTGCAGTTCCATGCATGTAATAATTACAATCCAATATATTTCTCCATGATGAGCAGACACGGGTGCACAGGCAGGAGTGCAGCCACCCGCGAAAGGGCGTCCGGAGCACCTGCCGCGGCAGCAGCCGTGCACACGTGGCGTCGAAATGTCTCGCCAATTTCATCAGTACACTCAACTTACAAATATGACGTTTTTCTGCATCTCTGCCGAGTTTTGCCGGCAGGGGGTGTCGCTCAATTCCCTCCTGGAGTACGCGTAGGTCGATAGCGAGGCCGACGGCGACTGACTGCCAGCGACTGTCAGCAGAGGACAGGCAACACATCATCCCGTATTTTATATTGCAGCGTGTACCATTTCTGGAATTACCTAATTTCTATCTCCGAGACAGCCCTTACTCGAGATTCCCAATGTAGGAGCAAATACGGCATCTACATCATCTACCAAATGTGGGGGGGGGGAGGGAGGGGGGGGACGAGTCTTTCTAGCCCTTGAACTGAGTGCATGTTGCACGTGTTCGCTTTGGAAATTTCATCACTTGTGTACTTTTATTAGTTCAGCGTGTGGAATGGGTTCATTCGTCGCCGGATGCTCAGTTGCCCGCCGAGCGCCTAGCGAACCGTGTAGTGTCTGTCCACTTGCCGTTAAGGAGGCGCAGTCGCCGCTTTTGTGGTTGCTGGTCAGGCATAATGACTGTGTACTTTAACTTTGCCTTGGATGAATGAAGCCTAACTTGAAGGTGGTGATCTATACGGGGCTACATGGTGACGCATTGTGCCTGCCGTCGGGCCGATAGTGGTTTGCCCGCGCTGCACACGAAATATGGTGACGGAGCATAGACGAAGGCGTTTGTGTACATCGTTTGTGGTGCTCTTGCAGTGAAATCATTACTGATCGTGCTCCCTTCTCGGGCAGGCACACCGCCCTGCCGTTTCTGCCCTTTCGGGACCAGGAGGAGAGTGTTGCAGTTGGGCCACCACATCAGTATCTTGCAGTGCGGAATATACAGGCTGGAAGATGCTAGAGACGTTGTGGCAGCAAATGCTGCCCGTTTTCACGGAGGAGTTTTGGGCAGAGCCACTGAGGGCCCCAATGATTAGCCGGAGCTGCCGCCACCTGGTGTGGGGTGTATGTCTTGCCTACATACCTTTAGTTATATTCCTTCAAAGGATGCATGACAATAGGGTGGGGAAGCAGAAACAGGCCTCACACCCACGAGCCTGTGTAGGTCCGATCCTGAAGGCGGTTACTTGCATTTGGAACGTCCTCCTTTGCATTTACTGTTTCGCGGGCTTCTGCGCGTTGGTACGTATTCCCCTTTCTCTCAGTGAGCACGTATTGTTGTAGCCCTGCAATTTAAGGTCTGTATGGCATACGATACATTAAGATTTGGTAGCGTTCTGCCTGTGGGCTTTGCAGATGTGGTCTTCGCCAAGGCTGTTTAGCACGTTTGCGTTCCCTTCGTCGAAGTATCCGCCGCTGACGCGGTTGGTAGTCTGTATTTTCTGTTTGGGAAAGGGTGTGGAGGTCTTCGACACCTTTCTGCTGTTTCTCCGTGGACGGCGGCCTTCTTTCCTCCACTGTTACGCACGTGTTGCAGTCGCGCTGTACTGCTGGCACGCACTTTATGCGGATGTGCCCTTCGCACACGGCTTTGTCGCAGCAAATTTGGCTGTGCAGGTGTTTGTTCACGCCTACTTTGCAGCTGCGGAGTTCGCAGTAACCAAACGGTACGGATATTTGATTAACGCCCCATTGTCTCCTTAACAGCATATGAAGAGCACGCTCTCAAGGCCAGCTAATCATCATCTGTTGCTTCCATGCACACATGCTCGGTAATTTTGCGTTCTGTTTGCTCGATGTTTTTCCAGGTTGTTCACATTCCTGCGGTCATACATCACGCTGCTCCAGCTTTCACAGATGTTCTTCGGCATGCTTATCAGCTCGCATGCCATTTACCACCCGCAAGTGCAGCAGAGTGCCCTCGCCGTCTTCAATGCCAAGCTGTAAGAACTTATTCTCCAGCCTACGGTTTCGCTTCTTTGTGTTTGGGTCTGGGGACTCAGGGTGTAGAAAAGACAGCATTAAATGGGTTTTTTATTCTGTTTCCGGTGGGGGCCGCACTGGGGTGTATTGCGCGTGTGCAGTATGATTCCTGCAGATGCCTAGCAATGTACATTTCACATGCCATCCTTTTCCTACAGTTTTACCTTGATGCCTTTTGCAAAGAGTACCGGAGCGGAGAAGCGACATTCCTTACTTTCTTCCACGCCTTTGCTGTTATTGGCATCGTGAAACTCGTGTTGCATGAGCAGTGCTGGCGGCTACTCGCAGATGTACGTAAATTGTGGGAGGGTTGGTTTTCCCGCTTTGCTGCGCAGAACGTACCTCCTGAACTCAGTCTGGCTCCCAGCAGTTGTTGGCACAAAGGGAGTGTACCTACGGGTGTAGGTACACTCCCTTTGTGCCAACAACTGCTGGGAGACAGAGTGACAGAGTGTACCAACTGATGTCATTAACAGTGTGCGCTTTGTGGCTGTTGGGGTTCTGTCTTGCAGACATTGCTGCTCTACGTAGTAGGGGGCCTGGGCATTACCTGTGGGGCACATCGCTTGTGGTCGCATCGCGCCTACAAGGCCAGTGCAGGCCTTCGTTGCTTTTTGATGCTGTTAACGTCCCTGGCCAATCAGGGTTCCGTCTTTCACTGGGTGCGATCCCTGTAAACCCCTTGGGAATGAATTTTGACCCCTAGACTCCTTGGGAGCTCACTTGCAGGCACCTCAGGTGCTTATTTCCTTCCAGTCGCCAAGCAAACAAATTAACTTGTGCGTCTGCACCGTGTGCCTTTGCGCGGCCTGCAGGCCAGGGATCACCGCGTGCACCACAAGAATAGTGACAAGGAAGGCGACCCGTACAATGCGTCTCGAGGCTTCTTCTACTCGCACGTGGGGTGGTTGCTGTTAAAGAAACCTCAGTCCGTGAAGGATGCTGGGAAACAGCTGAATTTCGACGATTTACTTGCTGTGAGCAATCCGTATGGCTTGTGGTAAAGAATGTAGGCTTAGGATCCGTTTCGGCTATGGCATCTGACTCCAGTTTTACTTCGAATCGAATTGAATAGCGCATCCTACGCCTGAATGTTCTTTACTCATCTTCAGGATCCTTTCGTCCGATTTCAACACAAGCTAGATCCGTGGTGGAACCAGTTCTGGTGCTTCGTAGTGCCATCTATCTATGCATACTACAAGTACAATGACTTCTGGACGGGCTTCTTTGTACTTGGTGGGCAGACACTCACTTCGATCCCTCGGGCGTTTTTCTCAAGCATCTATCTTTGGCGCATAGTGCCTTGAACATTCTTATCGTGAAGGATACGCTGCGCTTCGCAGGTTGCTTGCGGTGGTGCATTTGCCTCCATGCCACGTGGACGGTGAACAGCACTGCACACATCTGGGGTGACAGGCGCTATACAGTGGAAGGTAACCCCTGCGAGAGCTGCTTCACGGCTCTCGTTGCTGTGGGAGAAGGCTGGCATGACTGGCACCACAAGTATCCGTATGATTATGCAGCATCGGAAGGGGGTATCTTTGACCAGTATAATCCTAGCAAACTGGTGGGTCATGGCATGAAAAATATGGAGATTAGGAATCCGACTACGTTATTATGCGTCTACTGATCTGGATTACATTTGAATGCGTATTTTCTGCAGTTTATAGACATTTGCGCATGGCTTGGATTGGCATGGGAACGCCGGCGCGCTACTGCTACCTGGAAGATGCTCAAAGCCGAACGGGAACAGCAAGCCCTTGTTAGGCAGCAAAGGGATGCAGAGGCTCGTAAGAATTGTGAGGCTCTCTCTGCGGTGCATAGCCTTCGAGAGGTCGTCCGCGTCAAGAGTGCGCACACGAGCACGCTCCAGTCTCTGGTGTGTAAACACTAACCCGCATGAACAGTGCACGAATACCACAGTGATCTTGCTCACTGGGCTACATCGAAAGGGACTTTCCCTTTCAAAGCCCCCAATGCATCGAGAAAGTCCTTCAATATTCAAAGGTTCCTTTGCCAGGGCTGCTGCGCTGCTGCCCTCAGTGCAATATTCAAAGGTTCCGTTGCCAGGGCTGCTGTGCTGCTGTCCTCAGTGGAGTCTAGTCTTGGACGTCTGCTTGCTGGCTTGCGCCTACGTGCTCACGTGGTGGTGTTACTCGGCGTGTACATCACGTCTGAATACTGCTCCCCAGGCGCTAATGGAAGCTTCTCCTTATGTGCTCCTTCCACTCCTCCTTATTGTTAGCAGCGCGGTCCTGGGTTCACTATTTTTCTCCTTGCTGATGCATGCATTTGTGGCAGCCAACGGCACGTTTAGCCGGAGTTCATTACTGTCGGACTTCGTGGGTGGGCTCATCTGCGGTCTCCTCATGATCCCCTACCAAAGAAAGCGATTCAATGTGCCTGGAGAAACTCCGGCACTGAGGTACGAGACATCTGCTGTTGCCAATTTCAGATGGTTTACACTTCATTCGCATGGTCGCGCAGTACAACACTGCAGGCAAACCTTCCCGAAAGAGATTGGACATAAATAACAGCTACGTCATACATTTTGTTTCTCCTCTTTTCAGGCCCTTCCTGTACACTGCAACGTTAGCTGCTCCACGCCTCCCCGGCTGGTCTGCCTGCTTGGCGCCACTATTTTTGACACTGGCCGTCGGCTTCACTTTGATGCTTTCTTTGTGGCGAGGACACGTGCTACTTGTTAGCACCTTCTACTTACTGCCTCACCTTGTTATGGACACTTGGACAGCATATTACTTTCTCACCATGGAAAAGAAGGGGCCTCGTGAGTCTATGGCCTTTTCCGCTGCCTCAGTTGCGTTGCCTGTGGCGCTTCTTTCTTTATGTATATGCAGCCTTCATCTCATTTCGCTTTGTGCAATTGCTCTGTTTTGCTGAAGATGACGTCATGAATAACAACTGCAAGTACGATTTCCTCTGTGTGGCTCCATGCGCACTACGCTGGGTAAAGGCTTGCCTGGATAAGAGGCATCGCGAAGACGAATCCCAACTGATGCGAGCAATCCACGTCCTGCATCATCGTCCACTAGACCTTCATCTGCTCCAGGCAATTACTTTTGAGTGCGTTCTGTCACCTTGATATGCTGATTTGCTGTTTTGCCGTCCTCGGAGCAGGCGCGGCACTGGGGTGCATGGTCATTTAGGTCAGCTGTTCCGACATCTCTGGTAGAATAGGCCTGTAGCCAGACAGACTAGATGATGGGGTTTGGGGTTTAGGGTTTTTACTTGCCTTATCAGCTTAGTGGTTTTGCTGTGAAATTCAGAGTGCCTCTCCACCGGGTGCCAGAGGCGGTCAGCTACGTGAAGGAACGTGTTGAATCGATGCCAGCTGAAGTGTTCAGCGCTTCTCTCTCAGATGGATTCGCAGTGGTGCACCCTGACTCTCGGCCAGAGTACTACAATTCGCTCGGACAGCCGACCCAAACGCGTCGTGCTGAAGAATCTGGAACGTCAGCGAATGGGGAGGTAGACAAGAAGGCTAAAGATTTGGATGAGATGCCGTTCGCTGCATCCTCCTCGACCCTTACGAAGCGCACTCGAGCTGTTGGCTCGTAGGCGCCTTTTTGTTGGACGTCTTGGTTGGTAGAAGCCTGCGCACCCAAGCTGTTGGCTCTTCGACGCCTTTTTGTTGGATCGATAGGTTGGTAGAAGCCTAGGGCGGTAACAGTAGAACGCCATTTGCGAGAATATTGGTAGGGACTGCATGGCCGTTGATAAACGCAGATGCGAACTGAGGACGCGTGATTCCCGCCTTTTTTGCATTGTTTGGGGTTTCATTACGATCTTCTCGTGAATGGTGCAAATCACCTCGCGAGCGCAATACGTCCCAGTTGGGTCCTTTTACCTGTTTGTTGTGTGGAATGTCGGCCCCACCTTGTGGTGGTGCAACCGTGCATGCCCGAAGTTGTAGCGCAGTAACTGCTTCCACACGATCCTGTGATTTTCGTTGGAGCACACGGTTCTGTAGTGATGAAAGGGCAGGGAGCCTTCTTCTGCCGAACCATATACACGATAGGACGCTTTGCCATATGGGGCATACAGTCCTAGTGTCTTGCTTGCTCGGGCTCGGTGAGTCTAACCTTACGCAATTTGCTCTGCAATATTACGCGACTACAGCATCACTCCGGCCATGAGGCTTTGCTGAGTATTCCTTTACGAGGTGCCGATTGGCATTGTCCGGCTGGAGTAGAAAGCAGTTATGCAGAATCACGCGCTCCATTCAAAGCGCTGGACAGCATCTTTTTTCTGCCAAAGGCAACGCGACCCATATACATGTTGATTTGGTTCAATTGATTCGGCCGTTAAGTTCAGGCATAGTTCGATAGCGTCATTGCCATTTTCAGCAGCAGTGGAAACGCTGTGCGGCTTTAAAGGGTTCCACACTAAGGAGAAAGTTTGTATTGTTCAACCAGAAGTGGACGGCCTGTTGCCCTGGATAGACCAGCAACATCTCTTGAGGGGTAGACCAAACGATATCCACTGCCGCACTTTTTCAATGGCACGAGCATGATTCAGTGTGCGGAGAGTTCTTAAACTACTCACTTGAGGGTACATTTTGTAGCATGATCTAGTATGCTTGTGCCAGCCTTTTGCAAGCAGACCGAAGTTAGCATTCACGGAACCCACTGTTAGCCGTCTGCACCCCTTATTAGACATCCACGACTGAAGCTTGACAGGCCATTTTAGAATATACCATTTGCAAAGGAAGTTTGCACTTTATTCATGGACTCAGTGTACTAGGTTACTGTGACTGACAATCCACTGACGATGCAGGCTACTGCAGCCCCTAGGGCGCCCAGAGGGCACAGACAAGCCCCCCTTATGTGCTTTCAGTGAGTACAAATAAAACATATGTTTGGAATCGAATAAGTTATTCAATAATCCGGCTAACTCCTCCTTAGGTTGGTGTAATTGTGGATGTGCATGCCGTAGTTCGACAGCCCGATGGCGGCAGCGCCGAAAGCCCCCGTTTGAACTCCACGGTGCCTCCACTAGTGAGTTTTAATTGAAGTTCTGTTCACGGTGATCCACTGTTCGCTTACAAGACACGTAGAGTCTTGTTTACTCCTCGGTGTGTCGTCACTTGGCAACATCCGCAGTGATTTTCCCTTCCTGCACGGCAGCCACACAGTGGAGGCTCCGAAAATTCAGCAGCACGCTCACAAAACACAAAAACGTTAGAGCACAAGAACATTCAGAGTCTCATATTGCGAAGAATCTGATCATGCTCGTTGCTTTACATCTTGTTGCTCCTCTTTGGTTGGTTAACAGTAGCAATTCTCCAGCTCCCGACGCGCCGCAGTTTCGTCGCCGCCGGGAGCGAGTCGAATGTCCGTCCACAATCCTCACGAACAACGTGATGCCGTTGTACGGAACGTCCCTGCAGGATAGAACACCTCAAGAAGGCTTGAACTGAGGAATTTGTTTGAAGGGTGGGGGGCATCTTACAGCTAAGGGATGACACGGCTGGCACGCGGAGCCAGGACTATCGGAGCCTCCCACAAAAGAGATAATCTGCTGTTTTCATATCCGCAGCACATCACTCTAACTAAGGTGCGCATCTATGCTCCATCAGCCGCCTGGCTAGTAAATGGACGGTTCTGGAGCCAGTAAACCTGGTTGAGCTGATGGAAATTTTCGCAAAGGGAGCATTCAGGCCATACCAAGGACTGTTTCGGTACTGTGCCAGCAGAAAGCGCAAAAATCGCAGCAGCAGCATCCTCATCAGAACTCTTGCGTGCGCTTCGACAAGTGCACCAGCAGCGAAGCAGCAGCATGAGCGATAGCAGCGGAACCAGCGGAAGCCGCAGTAGCAATAGCGCAGATGAAAGTTCAGATGCCTGCAGCGCGAGGGATAACGTGATTTCACCGCGCAGTAGCATCAGCAGCTACAGCGAGGATGAAATCAGCAGCTGCAACAGGCTTTCACCACTTTCCAGCATACCAGATGTTCTCGTAGCTTCTATTTTGCGTTTTTTGCCGCAACACGAGAGAATTAAGGTGGGATCCCTCGTGTGCCGAAGATGGCTACATTTGATTAGAAGCTGCCTGTGTCAATCGGACACAACCATTCGAATATCCCCTCCTGTCTTTCGGCACCTTCCGCCGGAGGCGCTGCGGGCCTGCATTAGAGCCATCGCGATTTACAGCCGACACGCGAAGCTGGTAATAGGTTACGTAGTCCCTATGGCTGTGGAAAACGGAGATTATCCAGAATTTTTGTTTCTTCGGTCATTGTTCCGGGAGCTGTCCGATGTCCAATCTATCAGCATAGCTCTCGGCTGTCCGCTGACCGCCAGAATGCTGGGGGATGCATTTGCCGGCGTTGTGCAGCGCAGCGCTCATACCCTCACGTCTCTGGAGATATGGGAACCGGAGCTGGCCGAGGCCACCCTGGCAGCTCTCGCAGCAATGCCGTCCCCTTGGAAAACCTGCAACGAGCAGGCGACAGACTTCGGAAATGCGTATGTTGCCACAGCCCAGGCACTAGAAACCTCCGTCGGCTCTCACGTACTTCGCAGAGACCCCCGCCTGGTGGCGCAAGGGCTGCAGAGGTCTCCCAAGCAATGCGGTATGCTTTTGGCAACGGCGCAGGTCTTGCGCGAACGCTTAACTCGCTGCCCTTCGCGTACCAGCTTTTCCATGTCGGAGGCTGCGGCAGATACCGGCAGGTTACTACAGCAGCTGCAACAAGGGCAAGGGCAGCAGCAGCTGGATTCGCACATGATGACACCTGAATGCTACCCACATCAAACTAGCGACAGTCTGAAGAACAGAGAACGCACGGTATCGCCGTGCAGTTTGGATAGTGGGAGGGACCGCTTCAGAGGGACCCATAAAGGGGAGCTTCGCCGCAGAATCGCAGACATCAAAAACTGCTGCTGCTGCGTAACTGCGGCTGAAACTGCCTTGAGAATTTGGCGCAGATTCGAGAGCGTGCGTGTGGTATTACCACGACTGAGGGTCCTCGCCTCTGGAAGCTGGCGGCTGCTACAGGCGGTGCACTGCCCCAACTTGGAGGAGCTAAATCTCACGACCAACGCGACAACGCCCCAAAGGGATGCTTCAAGTCGGTTGCAGCAGCAGAGACAACGACAGCAGCACCCGCAGCACCAGCTGCATCGGCAGCAGCAACAACAGCACGGGCAACATGATTCTTCCCACCTCACTATGGCTCTACACGAGTGGGCAGACCGCATCTCGGCATCTGGAGGGCCACGGAATGCATCTGTATCCTCAGGATTCTCCGAGTCTGCGCTCCAAGAGTTGTTACATTTTTTACTTCGCAGTGGCTACAACCTCCGGCAGCTGCACGGCAGCTATACTGTGGGTCCGCTGAACGAATCGTTGCTGCATTCTGTTTCCACTGCCGGAAATGCCCTTGCTGGCGCCGGCAACCCTGCGTCTGGGTCGCCAGACATATCGGCGAGGGTGCGATATCTAGCTTCGGCAGCAGCTCCTCCTGGAAGGGTTAAAGGTGGGCAGAAGCTTGCTTGTGGAGGGTTCTTTTCTGCTGCATTAGCGGCTGCTGATGCCGTCCTTAATATGCAAGCACCAACTCTTTCAGGGGCATGCGATTTGCCTTTTCCGGTTGCAACCCTTGCCAGCAGTGTCGGCCGTACAGTAACCGGAGGCGCTAATGGACTAGCAGGGGAGAGCATATCAAGTCATGCTGCATCGCTAAATTACGCAGCGCTGGCATCCGAAGCTGCAGACAGTTTGTTTGCTGCAGCAGCGGGTCTATGCGCAGCAACGGGAGATGGTTGCCGACACATTCACCACTGCCCCCACCAGTGCTGTGCTGTTCCGTGTGCATGGGGCTCTTCAGAAGAACTGCTGCTGGTCTTATTGCCGAAATTGAGAGTTGCACGATCTGCGGACTTTTTGCTATTGAGTTGCTTTTTGTTGCCAAGACTGGAGGAGTTGAGGCTTCCCGAAACATGGGGCTCAGTTCTTAGCAAACCCATACCAGGTTTCCCACTTCTCTGGGCATACCTGTGCACCTACGGAAGAAGCCTCCGTGCGTTGGATGTAAAGGGGACAGCCCCTCCACTTGCGGCATTTCTAGGGGCCGGAACGACCGCACAGCCACTGCCATTTCACATACTACCTTTTGAGGCTGTAGCGACCGAGGCTCTTCAGCGTTTACTACTTGTTCACCGCGCTCATCCACTTATGGATCCTGCAAATACCTTGGCTACCAACACCCCTGCCTCAACTTCCCCCGAAGATGCGTTGTCGACCGCAGCAGCTGCAGCGAACGTTAGCGCGGGAATCGCAGAGCTTGCTGCACGTACAGTTGCCGAAATCTGGCACCGCCGCACGGCTTCAACTCAGCAGCAGCGTTGGCAAATAGCTTGGCAAGATGTGAACTGCGAAGGGGGTCAGGGTGGGGGCTGTACCGAGGAACTCGTTGACGTAGGCGTCCACCCGGCCACTAACGAGAGACTCCCTTGTGTACCCCATAGAGGGGTCAACAGCTGGGGCACTGCCGACGGCGCTTTCGATGCTATGAGACGTGATGCGAGCAGCTCGAGGCCCCTGTTTGGTCTGAGGTTTGGGCAACTGAAACATTTGCAGTGCCATTCGAGCTTCCTTCCGTACTTGGCAGAGCCGCTGCCGCAGTGTGGGTCACTGCAGGGCCTCAATACGGAAGGCGAATCAGACTCTGTCACATGGTTTGTTGCTTTGCTAACGGGCATTGAAAGGCTTTGCGTTAGAGACGCATGCCTAAATCCCTCCCGGCGGTGGCCTAGGGCTCCTCCTCCGATCTCCCTTGAAGTAGAAGAGGAAGAAATTCCTAGTTTTAAGAGCCACCCTGAGGTCACTCTGCATATTAGGAAATACACCGGCACTGCCTTCTTCTTCACACCGAGCATTTCATGTCCCAATCTTCAAGAGCTTCAGGTAACGTGGATGTCTCTAGAATGCACGCACATAGCCACCCTTTGCATCCAGTTTTTCCTCATAGTCTCTGAGAGGCTTTCTTTAGGCAACTGAAGATGCAGGCGACGACAGTTTTTGTGCTCCATTTTTGTGCAGGTACAGCGCGGAGATGAAGACTTTGACTCATTCTTGGTAGGAGGGGGGGCCTGTAATTTGCGGGTTCTACGCTACGAAGGCCGTTTATTCGGCGGGACAGGAGCCGCAACTCCCCGGGCACTTGTTGCTTCGCACGAGCTACGAGTCATTCGAAACACCGGCAATTCTGATGAGGACGCTCAGCGGGTGCTAGAAGCGCTGCGTCTTCCCCCTAGTTTTTCACCGCTTACAGGTTCCCCGTTTGCTTCCCTGAGGGAGCTGCACGTGTGCACCCTCGATGCCAGGGTCGTCGTACGTCTTGCCTTGGCCGCCGCCGCTGCTGTGAATCCGTTCCTTTCATGTGCTTGGCGGCGTGTTCTTGACAACAGGAAGGCAGAACGACTGCGGCAGTTGCAGCGAAAACAGCAGCTCTGGATGCAACGTACACAGGCGCAGCGGGATAATGAAGCCCTCCGGTTACTTGTACGCCAACGCCGGCTATACGAAGAATATAGTGCGAGGCGTAGACGACTGAGGCGGTTGTCTTCTGCGATCGTTATCCGCCAAGATCGATTTGCAGGGACCAGGGAAGGCCCTCAAAGGTCCCCGCAGCGCATGCATGAAGAGACTCAAAGGCGACTTACTCGTGAAGTGGCCAGTATGCGACAGCAACTCCAACAGCTGCAGAGACGCCTAGAATCCCTCGCTGCGTCTAACATCCGCAATCCCGCTAGTACCTCTGCGCCGCAAGAAAATCATCAGCTGCAGCGCTACCATCGATTCAGGGAAAGCCTTGAGAGACTGAGGAGGTTGCAAAGTCACCAGCAGCGGCTGGTGGCTTTGAGGCGCCTTCTACAAATCAGTGTAACAGATGCAGCGTCGTACCCAGTGGACCCAATACCAGGGGTGGGCGAGCATCGGCGGGCCAACGAATTTGAAGCAGCAAGGCGCAAGCTTAGAGCCCAGCGAGGGCGGGAGTCTGACTTTGGGTGCAGCCGCAGTTGGTGTTTCTGGGGCTGCCATAGAGCTGTGGCTGCACTTTCGCAGCTACTGCCGCAGCTGCGTACTTGCGTGGTGCAACGACTTCGTGGAAATGCAGCATCGCTGCGTTTGCTTCTTCGAGGACTGCCACGGCTTGAGGTGTTCGCGGTGGCGGAAGAACAAACATCTCGCCGTAGGCACCGGCTGCTCCAGCTAGCTACCACCTTAGGTTTCACAGTACGCCGCGGGCCGCTAATCATTCCGGCCCTCCACAATGACCTCGTCACTGTTTCTACGATTTCAAGGCAATTTTGGATTTCCAGCCGTGGTCCAGCTGGAAGGAGAGCTTCAGCAGCTTCTGTGGCTGCAGCTGACCTGCTGGTGCATGGGCTACTGGGACGTCTCGCGAGCGGCTATCAAGGGCAAAGTGTGCCGGGTTCGCAGGCCCATACAGGGGATACGCCAGTCTCCAGCACGCGTTGTGCCATTCCTACAGCTGTGCCCTGCGGTATTAGAGAGACTGAGGCTGCTGGCTGTTTGACCGCGGAGGTACCTGTTGTGGCCAGGAGCGTAGCATTGGGGACTGCTAAGGAACCTTTGGCGTCCAGCAGCTGTTGCGAGCATCAAGGTATACCGAACTTTGAGAAATACAAGACACCCGCTACAGATGAAGTTCCAAAGCAAGCAGAAACGGCTGTACCCGCGGCACGAATGGCAGGAAGTGCTCGTACAAATCAAGCCAGCGCCCGAAGGCGTTCTCTCCGCTCCTTAAGGTGCTCCATCTACACCAGGAAACGCCCACAAGTGTCCGACTCTCGAGCTACTAGCGCCTCTACTCCCAAGCGGCGCCGCCGAAGACGAGGGGACGGCGGAGACATGGTTGTTGATGTGCGCCAAGACATGCAAATGGCGCGGGGTCTAGCGGAGGAGCTTGAGGAGCAGCTCACGAGCTGAATCTGTGCCAGCCATATGGCTGGTGCAAATTCACAGTGCACGATGACTTCAAAGTGTTTCTACCCCCCCGCAGCATCCGCTGCATGCTTCATCTCCATAAGAAGCTCGTAAACTCAGCATGCGGTTGACAAAACTTCGTTTCACCGGCTGGCGACAGGATGCGGGAAGCCATGCGCTGCTCCTTCGACTGAGCTTCATCAGCATTAGAGCACTTTAGGGGCTACTTTGCCTTATGGCGCCGTTGACAGATGCATTACCTACTTGGTATTTGATCGTTAAGTTTCGTGTATTTGATCGATGTAACCGTTAGGTGCAAGCATTCGCTCCCGCCAAACAGCAACGCCTGCTGTGGGCATGTACACTGGTCTACAGCTGTGAAACTTGTCTAACATAAGTGACGTCCGTCCGCACTATGCACACTAAGTGAAAGACCATGCCAAGCCAGCAGAGCCTGGCGGCAGCTGAGAAGTCCTGACGAACCCGCGCTGTCACCGTTTCTACGTGAATCCGTCTGCGGGAATCAGCAAGCAACGGGATGTCTGCAAATGAAAGGCCTCGAAGCCAGGTCTTCGAACTAAACACGCTACGGGAAACAACGGTGACGCCAAGGTTGTGAGGAATGCCATCGACAACATGAGGCGTGCTACCGTGTTGCACAATGGATGCGCTGGTAGGTTCCCAGTCCTTTTGACTCATGCGTGCATACGGGCCTGCCAATCTGCCCACACCGCCTGAAAAGCTGGTTCGCCGACGCAAAAAAAAACTCAAAGTCCCTCCACCCGTGCTGGCCACGAAAACAGTCTGCAGTCAGCAGATGTACCCTCATCAGCACCACATTCCCAGCATGGGTGCTTCTTACACCGGCGCATCTGCACTACATGGGTTGCCTGTTCCTGTCTACGATTCTCCCGTCACACTTCGGAGCGAGGACAACCTCGTCGTCAATGCCCTTTCTGCATCCAAACTCGGAGAGCATCTGGTCTTGCTGAAGGTTCGTAAAAGACGAAAGCTGACGAGACACGATGCTCGAATGCGGCTTCTTCAGACCGTTGGCCATTGCTGTTAACGCTAAGGCATTTCGCACAAGAGTCGGCAGCGGAGGCAAACGCTCACCCTCTACAAGCACTGGGCAGGTTGTCATCATTGTAAACCCGTCACGACCTGCATCCACAGCAAGTCAGATGCATCACATTACTCGCATGCAGAGAAGCTGTAACACCAGAACCCCATGCACAAGCAGCTGCATTCTGCCGAACGACGGCAATATCATGGTGGGCATTGTCGCCAAAAATCAGTCACCTGAGTTAGTCGTGACTGCAAACATTGCTTGCGCGTTTGTACGCACAATAGTAGGCTCCAAACTGTCTTACCCTGTAGTACGTAGGACTTCGTTGCAACGGTATACTCGACATTCTCATCCAAGGGCTCGAAACGCCCTATACCAGGTTGCCCATCAGGAGACTGCACAGTGCTTCCCCTTGGTGCAACTTTCACGGTATCTCTGATCACGCGACTACCCGCTGGTTTGCTACTGTCGAACTCAAACCTAATCCCAGCAACCTGAAGAAATCGACCTTCCGTTTTGGGTACCTGGGACACCGCATTTTCTAACGCTGCCAGGAGCACTGAACCTTTGCAGCTGACCACAGCGATTTCGTCCGCCATAGGAAGCATGGCCGCCAGGTCCCCGTAACGAAAGTCTCCCTCCTTAAACACGCAATCAGACCGAATCGTCCCTGTGGCGAAGACACCATCACCGATACACCAAAACACCCCATCCCAACACGCAGGCAGAAGGTATTCACCCTTACAGGTCCTCACTGGAGGCTGCGTTTCTGGTCATACACAGCTGTACCCCTTGAAAAACTGAGCCCTCAACCCTCATACAATCTGATGCAGTTCAGTGCCTTTACACTACGCCTTGAATAGTCCCTACCCGAATTGATGAAGGCGATGTCGCTCTTGCACTCCTTGCGCATGAGTTCGCACAGCCAATTGCCGCAATTACTTTCTTGAGTGCGAATGATTCGAAACCGCGTCTCAAGTTCTGCGCCAAGCTTCGCCAGTTTCCTTCGCATTTGCTGCTTAATGTGGCGCTCATACTTCTTCACGAGAAGCTCTACGTGCTTGTTCTTTGCAAAGTTATTGGGTGTGACCCGGACACGTTCCCACTGGACAAGAGAACTCCCCAAAATCTTCGGGATTACAACGCTGCCGCCTGGGCAGTCCGACGGTTTCAACTGCCCTGAGAGCAACGACATCCTCTGAAAGAGCAGCTTTACCTACGCGTGAAACCTCTGAAGCATTCCAAGCGCAAGCCAGGCACTTGCGTGGATCTGCAGCTACTAGTAAATAACTGGTATCGTGTATCGCCGTTTACTTTGTGACTGAGCTGGAAGAGCAGGTTTGAGCAGCAAAGGGCGTTCTTCTGTACCGCCTTGCCCCTGCCTGCTATCAGAGATCACTTTCCCTTTCGCATGCAGCAACTGCGACGCCAACTCGCTTGGGCTCAGTACTTCAGCTTGATTGTTTGAAGCCTCCTCGGCCACAGCCACAGCTGCAGCTATGGCGGAGGCTGTAGCCTCCGGCGGTGGGTCTGTTCCATCTAGCACTCGAGGTGCTGATGCGACTGCTGCAGCTGCTATGGCAGCTGCGCCAACATGCTTCCCTGAATCGTCAATCAGTGCAGTTGCAAGCAGGTTTGGTTGGGGAGAGGCATCCCCCGGGAAAATTGCAATAGCTGTGAAGTCAAAGAAATCCGTCCCAGACTTGACAACGGGCGTGCCGCCTGAACAACAAGCAGCGTGCAAGACAGCTTCCCGGTTGCACCATATGCTTGGGCTACTGCGTCGAGTTACCAAGCGGACTGAAATATGTTATGGGCCAGGCCCCTAGAGACTGTCGGCCACCAAACAGGGGACGAAGTAGCAGTGCAGCAACGATGCGGTGTTAGGCGTCTGTGTACTGTCTACTTCCTCGGCCCCACGGTGGCAGACCTATTACTTGCAATCCATAGTAGTCGTGGTCGTGACCGCCAAGGATGATATCAATATCTGGAGCCATCTCGGCAAGGCGCTGATCGTTCGGTGCCCGCATGTGCGTTAGTGCTATGATTAGTTCACACTCTTTTGCTCTCAAGAACCGACACATCCGGTTCGCCGCAACTACGTAGTCCACGTACACCACGTCGTCGGCGCTTATGCATGCCAAAGTATCCAGCCATTCTGAATTCACATCAAGCAGAAAATGCGCCAAGGTTCCTCTACGAAAGGATTGATAACGTGGACAAAGCAGATACAATGCTACCTCACTTTGCCTGGCCGTGCCATGGTGTAAGTTAGTAGAGGTGATACAAAGAGACGCTGTGCTGCTGCTTCACCTCGCTCAACCAAGCCAATCAAGCCAATGCGGACTCCCTGCCACTCAAAAAGACGGTATTTCCAGGCATTGGCGATAGGCTCCCCTGGAAGACAGGTGTAGTCACCAGCATACGGATCAGTGGGCCCCTTGCCAGCCGCGTGAGACTCATCATCGCCAGTCCGATGTTCTGCCTGGTTCCCCTCTGCAGCGCAGCCTTTACTCAGTGGAGTCGCATGTTCTCTGCCGTGCATATATCTATCCAATTTGCGTTGATCATCCGAAGAAGATCTTTCAAACACGTTCGTAAGCAGCCAAGGAAAATTGCACGACCCAATTGTGTACTCGAGTTCGTCAATGCCAAAGTCAAAGTCGTGATTCCCAAGACAAGCGGTGTGGACCTTGAGAAGGTTTAGAAAAGGAATCATCTGGCGCCCCTTCATATAAGTACTCATCAACGACGGATTTAGAGCGTCTCCTGCGTTGTAAACAACCGGAAATCGGCAAAAATGTCACAACGAGCGGGAACAATGAAAAAATATAGCACCCCTCTGCTGTGTCTAGTGCGTGCTTTTGTGCCTTTCCCTCCCCTAGACTACTGGGAAACGGCGAAATATTTCTCCCCCACCATGCGTTGAAACTAAGTGCCATATGCGCTCTGATGACTGGGAGCCTTCATATTCAGAGGCAAGACATTCAGAGGCGATTTCTTTCAGGTGTTCACTTGCCAACATGCCATACTCCCTTAATGGTCCAATAGCAATTCCTCACCTGAAAAGAAGACTAGAGGGTGCAAATGGCTGAAGCGTTGCATCGCAGTGACAAAACGAGCAACGCCACCAGATCCATCTTCTCTTGTATCAATGTTGTACACATCGTTAAAATGCAAGATGACGATTGGGTCGGTCCTGTTTAGCGGCAAGTCGAAGTCGTACCTGTACATTCACGTCAGCAAACAGCATGAGGGGGAAAATGGGCACTCCCTGGCTTGATTCGTCTGCACAACAGAGCAGTCGAGCTGCCTTACGCAGTGAGTGAGACTCACAGCCCCCACCCAACCATATGTCTTTTTAGTAGCACTAAGGACACAACACGTCTTCAAGCACAAATCGATATGCAAGCTCCATAAATCTGCATTACTATCCCACCAAGTCTCTCCAGTAAAGCCTCGTGAAGCTTGTCTCGTGATCATCGACGCCAATCGACGAATTTCCTCATCGGGTTCCGGTGGTGAGTCGTCGCCTCTCCGTCCGATGCGGCGTCCCTGAACTGCCAAGACAGGCGTCTCTTGTCCCAGTACTTGCAGCCTCGGGGAGCGGCTAAGAGGAGACAGGGGCGCCCTGCCTTCTCCATGCTCCTTAACCATATCCTTCTTCATCGAAGACTGCAAGCTGGTGCTGCAAAGGGGGGCAGAGCTGCGCTATGTAAAACTACACGCTAAATTAGCTCCAGCATGCAACCAACTCGTGGTGCTCTTCGGCCTCGGCAGCAAGCCAGATTCCGACGTGGTGCGTGTAGAGCGAAAAAACGAACCACTCCGTCTGCTGAGCCTATTGCTGAGTCCTGGTAACGACTATCCAGAGGGCAAGCCCAAAGGCTTGCCTAAGCGCCTGCTTAAAGAACGGCAAAGACCCAGATGAATCGCCCACTATCCCACTCAGGCAGGCAGCAATAACAAACAACAGTTTCTGTGATTGTCACCACCACGTCCTCCTTATTCCTAGGTGTCTAGCAGACGTTCTGCAGCCCATGGCTTTATGCGCCTCAGTCACGAATAGCTGTTGTACCTGTCTCAGAATGCAGAAGTAGGTATGTTATCGAGCATTATAAATAGCTAGCCGTCCGTGTGCGTGAACCTCCTAGAAAGGAGTGGCGCTAGGAGGGGTTGCACCAGGCAGGCGAAGTTCTCAACAGCATATCTCGATATGTACCTTAAAACATAAGGCCACCCACAGATAAAGTTTGCACCACAGTTGAGGGCTGGCGCTGCTCGAGGTCTGCTGCCAAGCGATTCTCTGCCGAGTGGCGAGCGCACACTCGGGTACCTCAACTTCTACTCAAACAATCCACTAAGAACTCATTTGCTTGTATTACGCAGTATATTTGGGTTGAGATTCATAAGTAGAAATAGATCGATGTCGAGCAAGAATGTTTCACGAACTCTGTGTTGGTGTGCACCACCCACTGGTAAATAGGGGCTGACGGGTGACAAAGATGTCGAGACAAGTGTGTTTTGCAGCTTTTCCTCAAGTTCTTGGATAATAAAACACACGCGTGCAACCTTCGTTTTCTTGATTCAGTTCCGGTAACTCGAGGCTTGCCTCAGGCGGCAATCCTGTGATGCGGCTGCCCGTCACCAGCAGCACGAAGAGGGCAAACTGCTCTCTACGTGGAACTGAAGTGTTAAACGTTGAGTTGGCACTCCCCACAGCACTATACTCCTTGGTGTCCCGAAAATAGTCGCATCTATGCTCTGAGAACAAGTGAATTAGGTTCATATGATGGCGACCGCTATGCTTATAGGCGGGAGCTTAAACGGTAAGTGTGTCTATCCGTGTTTGTGGGTGTTGGCCAGGGGAAGCAAAGTGTTCATCAAGGCATCCTCTACATTGTCAGTGCTTACATCACAAACGGAGATGGAGCATGCTTGCGCATGTATTTGCACTGATAGCACGCGCCTCAGTAAGGGCTGTGGGGTATGGATGCGTTTGGATTATTTTCTGAGACTAGCTGTATCCAGATGTGCACCAACTATGTAGAGTTGGCTCCTACCCCCGCCAGACCCACGGCTCTGTGCCGGTGTGCTCAAGACATCTGGACACAGGCAGAAAGGTCAGTTGCGCTTTGGGAACGGCCCCTGCTAAGTGTTTGGCTCTCCTTCAGTTCATGACTGCTGGACGCCAATGCCCATGGTGTAACGAGAGTCCTCCTCGTTGTTCGAGGACCCTCGTGAGCTGCAATCAAGTCAAACAACTTTCCGTGTTTCATAGAAGTAACTGATATCCTCTCCAGTCCCAGGCCTGGGCCCGGCGATCCGAGGTCCTAGGGACAGTGAAAATCAGCTTCTTGACGTGAGTTGCAAAGTAACTCGCTGCAACGCGTTCCACAAGGCAACACTGCATGGATTCAGGACGAGGCAACTCTTCCTGCATCGATTAATAGTATGGACGGCTGGTATAAGGGAACTCGGGCAGTTTAACGAGTGCACACAGTCTTATCGGGGGCTGTTATGAGCTGCAGTGGAGATAAAATAGTTAAAATATGAACCCCGCCGAACCAGATGTCATCCAGTAACCGGGTAACCAGGGGCTGGTTGCCTGAGGGCCTGGAGCAGGGAATGTCGGGGCGGCCATTCACGGGTTTCTGCACAATTGATGCAACACAGCTTCACCTTCATACGCAACCAAGTCGTATGGCTGCATGCTTAAACACTGTAGAATATTGTTGCGGACCTACGTGGCCTTCAGTGACTAACCTGCACGTTCGTAGGAATACACATACCAACCTGACACATACAACGCTCCATCTTTCCCCCCTTCGCCCCCAGACGGCACAAGCTTTCGACGGACTTGTGGAGTCTAATCAAGAAAAATAAGAAAAAATGAGGGAGGATAGGAGGAAGCAGCATTATCCAGCATCCACGGATTCTTCTGTGCCCCAGAACGTGTGCTAGTGACTCGTAGGTCTTGCTGTGAACGTCTCAGTGCGGTGACCACTGGCCATCGGCAGCGGTCCAAGCTACCGTGTTGGGTTAGTCGCCTTTTGGAGCGGGCGTTCCGAGCTCGTAAGGTAGAAACTGAGATGATGCCATTTGTTAGCTTAAATTCTCGCGTGAGCAGGGATCGGTCCAACCTCAAAATGCAGGGCCAGCCCCCAAAATTGACGGAACAAAATTACAGCAGTCGGTGGACGTATACTGGTCACAGCGTAGAAAAACGTAGACCCGGAAGCCAAATGCACAAAGGGAGACGAGCAAGTCCTCCGCCAAAGCTTATCAGCTGTAACTCAGCATGGGTTCAAGCCCAATTATGAGATGCGCTGCTCGTGCCCAAGCCTGCCGGCGTAGCCGTAGAATCTAGAATGTCTTACAAATATTCCTGGGGTATTGATTTGCGCAGCTGCTCCTCAGACGTCTACTGCGACTGCCAGTCCCCTTGTAACGCTGGTTCTCCGGCCTTAACCTGACCGGAGACGAGCCGCAATGAAGGCAAAGACTTAAAGTA